GGACGAATTGAACTCCTGGAGTTCCAATGTCAGTGCCCTCCAAGTGGATGTAGACGCTGCCAAGCAGTGGTCGTTGGACTGGCACCTTCCTCTGAATGATGAAAAGTGCGTCCATGTGTCGTTTGGAGGGGATTCAGCGAATGCCTTTATTATGCATGGTGAAAAGGGACCAGAAAAGAATCATGAAGATAGATGCCAAAAAGCATTTGGGCATCTGGGTCTCCTTAAATTCATCCCTCTCACTGCACCATGAGAAATCGGCCCAAAATGCATTCGCCATTTTAAGGATGTTCCGATGCCCCATCTCCCGTATTACTCGCATGGAATTCCAGATAATCTATGGGGCCTACTTCAGACCGCTCCTGGTGTACGTCAATGAAGTTGTCAACTCACGACCCTCGAAAGACGTTACCCTCATTGAGCGTGTCCAGCGGGCCGCTACGAGAATGGTTGCCGGCCTCAAATCCGCGAACTACGAAACGCGTCTCGAGATGCTTGATTTCTTTCCCCTGGAGTACCGTCGCCTCCGAGGGGACCTAATTCTTACTTACGCCCTGTTTGACCCTGCAAACACCCGGCGAGGACATAGTAAGAAAATTTTCAAGCTCAGAGCACACACATTCATTGGACAACATTTTTTCTCATTTCGGGTAGTAGCTGCGTGGAATGACCTTCCTCCGGCGGTTGTTCACGCTCTTTCTAGAACCCAGTTTGAAGCACTATTAGACATTTATTTATGCAACTCCTCGCGCTGGCAAGCATACTACCCCGCGCTGAGAACCCAATCCAATCCTTTTTCATCCTTTTTCACTTGTGTCTTTCAGCTGAACGACAGCCACTGACCGACAAGAGCAAACGCTACTCGGGTGAGCAAAGGACGAAACCGATTTCGAACGTACCGCGCGAGACCAATCCTTTTTCATCCTTTTTCACTTGTGTCTTTCAGCTGAACGACAGCCACTGACCGACAAGAGCAAACGCTACTCGGGAAACGTGAGCAAAGGCCTCGATCCTATGTATCAATCCGTGAATGCGTGTAAAAATAAATGGATATCATGTAAACGCGATGTTGTGGGAAAAATATCCCATGCTTGCAATGGCTCATTAAAGTCACCGATAAAAGAAACGTACACTTAAAGATGCACTGTGCATTTATTCTTGGTTTGAGACGGAACTTTAACATCATAATTTCACCCTATTTATAACTTGTATTCCATGGATTTTACATCATTGTTTTAATAACCTAACGACAGCTATTTTTCCGACCTTGCTTAATGCGCAATTGTGAAAAGCAATGGTGCGCATGGATTTTGTCAAAACTTTGGCAAAGAAAGCTGGACAAGTAAGTGAGATTGACTGATAATAACGATGTCTTGTAATAAGATAATCACAGACGGTTACTACACGATAGGATTCGCTGACGAGAAGGCTTCGTATGCTGATTTGGTGACGGAATACGACAGGAAAGTGGAAGAATTTTTGAAGTCTGAAATACTTGCTGTTCACCCCGACCACAAGTATGTTGTTGGTTTGTATGCAATAAGCTTTCAGGATTATTGCTGAGGAAGGTTACTCGGGTTCTGCCGTCCTAACTCAAGAACCGACGTGGATCATCGACCCAATCGATGGCACCTCTAATTTCGTTAGCAGGTAACTGCCCGCAAGTTCATGAATAGTTGCAACAAATTCATTGAGGTTTCCGTTTATTTGCGTCTCAATAGCGTTCTACGTCGAAAAAGAGGTAGGCTTTCATGGTCCGTCATGCATTCGCTTTAGCCCATGCTGGCTGTGGTTTATAACCCGATTCAGCAGCAAATGTACAGCGCTGAGAAGGGACACGGAGCATTTCTGAATGAAGAACGAATACACGTTACAAATGAAAAAGGTAGATTGAGTTTGGTTGCTCCGTTTCTTTATTTTGTTCATCGGGCACTTAACTTGTAACTTATCGAATGATGGAGGCAGTTACTGAATGTTGGACTCACTCTTTCGGCGGAAACTTTTGTTCTTAGCTAAAGGCGTTGTCGGCACCTGCCAAAACCGTTTCTTAAGGGTAGTATTTGTAATTGTTTAGGCAAAAAGCCACAAGATGAATTCCCCCTAATTTACCGGCGGGTCGGGGGTAAAGAGAGGATGTACGTGATCAAATAGGTTCCCACATCATGTGCAAATTCTGTTGCGGCAATGAGCTGCGATTTTGGCCACTCTGGCGCTGGTCGCTCTCCGTAAGTGGCTGCTGTTCGTGGCGTATGCTCGCCTATGTGTTATTCGCCTAGGGGTGGAGCAAGTTGAGTATACAAAAATAAATAGGTCAGATGGAACAGACTCACTAACAATTGTTCTCTTTAAAATAGTTCGTCGTTGGCCCAGGTCAGCGAATAAACAATAATCCAATAGTGTTGGTCCAGAGGTCTTCTTCTGAACAGTTTCCACATATGATAGATTCCGAAGATAGTCTGAAATGTTTTGGGTACCAGAGTTAGTATATGGGACTCGCGAATGACCGCTGCAAGCGCGAGCGAAATCAGAAGAGAGAGTTGAAGCACGTGCCCACGCTTGTATTATGTGAAATTGTACAAGGGCGCGTTTTTTGTAGTTTCTCGTATTCAAACAAAAAACGATTATGCAATTGATGAAGTACCTAGTGTTATAATGGAAGTAAAATAAAGGTACAAAACGCCACACTACTCCCCCACTAGAGCGTTGACCATGAAATGGGAAAACGCTGGAATAACTAAAGTAACGAATCAAAAGTTGCTAACTTAAGTTTCGTAATCAGCTAAGTGCTGAGGGAAACGGACGCGTCGTCCTGAACGACTAGTGGAAGGAGTGAGGTTGGCGGGAGGGATATCTTGGGTAGGTGTGGGTGTTGTTGGAATAACAGGATTGCTAGATGTGGTCGTAGGTGCTTCAATGTAGGCAGGTTTCAGACGATCAATGGAGACGGTGTCGTGCTTTCCACTTCTCTCTAAAACAAAATATTTGGAGTGACGTTCGATAACTTTGAAGGGGCCATCGTAACAAGGTTGGAGGGGTTTCCTCGTTGCGTCATGTCGGACAAATACAAATGGTGTAGAAGAGAGTTCGGTTGAGATGTGCTCCGTTCGCGTTGATCGTCTGGTAGGTGTCGCACGAAGTTCGGCCATATGTTGTTTCAGAAGGCTGACGAATGTGACGGGTGATTCGGGCTGTGCGCCAGAAGGGGAAACTAGTTCACCGGGTAGACGCAGAGTTGTACCGTATACTACTTCGGCTGGGGAACAGTGAAGATCCTCCTTAATAGTGGAGCGAATAGCAAGCAAAATGAGGGGTAAAGAAGAGGACCATGAAGATGGGTTCATTTGGGCAGTCAATGCAGCTTTGAGGTAGCGATGGAAACGCTCAACCAGACC